ACCCGGATATAAAAGATATTTTCTCTGTTCCCAAATTAGAGCCTGTGTTAATGTAAATAAAATAGACCAAACCCGGATATAAGAGAAACCCGGATATAAAAGATATTTTCTCTGTTCCCAAATTAGAGCCTGTGTTAATGTAAATAAAATAGACCAAACCCGGATATAAGAGAAACCCGGATATAAAAGAGATTTTCTCTGTTCCCAAATTAGAGCCTGTGTTAATGTATATAAAATAGACCAAACCCGGATATAAGAGAAACCCGGATATAAAAGATATTTTCTCTGTTCCCAAATTAGAGCCTGTGTTAATGTAAATAAAATAGACCAAACCCGGATATAAGAGAAACCCGGATATAAAAGATTTTCTCTGTTCCCAAATTAGAGCCTGTGTTAATGTAAATAAAATAGACCAAACCCGGATATAAGAGAAACCCGGATATAAAAGATATTTTCTCTGTTCCCAAATTAGAGCCTGTGTTAATGTAAATAAAATAGACCAAACCCGGATATAAGAAAACCCGGATATAAAAGATATTTTCTCTGTTCCCAAATTAGAGCCTGTGTTAATGTAAACAAAATAGACCAAACCCGGATATAAGAGAAACCCGGATATAAAAGATATTTTCTCTGTTCCCAAATTAGAGCCTGTGTTAATGTAAACAAAATAGACCAAACCCGGATATAAGAGAAACCCGGATATAAAAGATATTTTCTCTGTTCCCAAATTAGAGCCTGTGTTAATGTATATAAAATAGACCAAACCTGTGGATATAAGGAGAAACCCCGGATATAAAAGATATTTTCTCTGTTCCCAAATTAGAGCCTGTGTTAATGTATATAAAATAGACCAAACCCGGATATAAGAGAAACCCGGATATAAAAGATATTTTCTCTGTTCCCAAATTAGAGCCTGTGTTAATGTAAATAAAATAGACCAAACCCGGATATAAGAGAAACCCGGATATAAAAGATATTTTCTCTGTCCCAAATTAGAGCCTGTGTTAATGTAAACAAAATAGACCAAACCCGGATATAAGAGAAACCCGGATATAAAAGATATTTTCTCTGTTCCCAAATTAGAGCCTGTGTTAATGTAAACAAAATAGACCAAACCCGGATATAAGAGAAACCCGGATATAAAAGATATTTTCTCTGTTCCCAAATTAGAGCCTGTGTTAATGTAAACAAAATAGACCAAACCCGGATATAAGAGTAACCCGGATATAAGAGAGATTTTCTCTGTTCCCAAATTAGAGCCTGTGTTAATATATATAAATTAGACCAAACCCGGATATAAGAGAAACACGGATATAAAAGATATTTTCTCTGTTCCCAAATTAGAGCCTGTGTTAATGTAAACAAAATAGACCAAACCCGGATATAAGAGAAACCCCGGATATAAAAGATATTTTCTCTGTTCCCAAATTAGAGCCTGTGTTAATGTAAATAAAATAGACCAAACCCGGATATAAGAGAAACCCGGATATAAAAGATATTTTCTCTGTTCCCAAATTAGAGCCTGTGTTAATGTAAATAAAATAGACCAAACCCGGATATAAGAGAAACCCGGATATAAAAGATATTTTCTCTGTTCCCAAATTAGAGCCTGTGTTAATGTAAACAAAATAGACCAAACCCGGATATAAGAAAAACCCGGATATAAAAGATATTTTCTCTGTTCCCAAATTAGAGCCTGTGTTAATGTAAACAAAATAGACCAAACCCGGATATAAGAGAAACCGGATATAAAAGATATTTTTTTCTGTTCCCAAATTAGAGCCTGTGTTAATGTATACAAAATAGACCAAACCCGGATATAAGAGAAACCCGGATATAAAAGATATTTTCTCTGTTCCCAAATTAGAGCCTGTGTTAATGTAAACAAAATAGACCAAACCCGGATATAAGAGAAACACGGATATAAAAGATATTTTCTCTGTTCCCAAATTAGAGCCTGTGTTAATGTAAATAAAATAGACCAAACCCGGATATAAGAGAAACCGGATATAAAAGATATTTTCTCTGTTCCCAAATTAGAGCCTGTGTTAATGTAAACAAAATAGACCAAACCCGGATATAAGAGAAACCCGGATATAAAAGATATTTTCTCTGTTCCCAAATTAGAGCCTGTGTTAATGTAAACAAAATAGACCAAACCCGGATATAAGAGAAACACGGATATAAAAGATATTTTCTCTGTTCCCAAATTAGAGCCTGTGTTAATGTAAACAAAATAGACCAAACCCGGATATAAGAGAAACCCGGATATAAAAGATATTTTCTCTGTTCCCAAATTAGAGCCTGTGTTAATGTAAACAAAATAGACCAAACCCGGATATAAGAGAAACCCGGATATAAAAGATATTTTCTCTGTTCCCAAATTAGAGCCTGTGTTAATGTAAACAAAATAGACCAAACCCGGATATAAGAGAAACCCGGATATAAAAGATATTTTCTCTGTTCCCAAATTAGAGCCTGTGTTAATGTAAACAAAATAGACCAAACCCGGATATAAGAGAAACCGGATATAAAAGATATTTTCTCTGTTCCCAAATTAGAGCCTGTGTTAATATATATAAATTAGACCAAACCCGGATATAAGAGAAACACGGATATAAAAGATATTTTCTCTGTTCCCAAATTAGAGCCTGTGTTAATGTAAACAAAATAGACCAAACCCGGATATAAGAGAAACCCGGATATAAAAGATATTTTCTCTGTTCCCAAATTAGAGCCTGTGTTAATGTAAACAAAAAAATAGACCAAACCCGGATATAAGAGAAACCCGGATATAAAAGATATTTTCTCTGTTCCCCAATTAGAGCCTGTGTTAATGTAAATAAAATAGACCAAACCCGGATATAAGAGAAACCCGGATATAAAAGATATTTTCTCTGTTCCCAAATTAGAGCCTGTGTTAATGTAAACAAAATAGACCAAACCCGGATATAAGAGAAACCACGGATATAAAAGATATTTTCTCTGTTCCCAAATTAGAGCCTGTGTTAATGTAAACAAAATAGACCAAACCCGGATATAAGAGAAACCGGATATAAAAGATATTTTCTCTGTTCCCAAATTAGAGCCTGTGTTAATGTAAACAAAATAGACCAAACCCGGATATAAGAGAAACCCGGATATAAAAGATATTTTCTCTGTTCCCAAATTAGAGCCTGTGTTAATGTAAACAAAAATAGACCAAACCCGGATATAAGAGAAACCAGGATAAAAAGATATTTTCTCTGTTCCCAAATTAGAGCCTGTGTTAATGTAAACAAAAATAGACCAAACCCGGATATAAGAGAAACACGGATATAAAAGATATTTTCTCTGTTCCCAAATTAGAGCCTGTGTTAATGTAAACAAAATAGACCAAACCCGGATATAAGAGAAACACGGATATAAGAAACTTCTTTTCTCCGGTCCCAAATTTATCCAAAAAAATGTATAAAATTTGTCACTTTTGCTGATTGGTGTTAATCAGAAATACCAATTAAAAGATTTCATAGACAAATTAAAAGCAATTGCCCCATCCACTCATCAAAAGATCACTAATACAGGGATATGATGGTTTCTTTTCATTTCATATCTTTTTATTTTGAATATTTTTGTTTGCTTTTGATTTTGTCGACTGCAAAGGAGGGTCAGTTGGCCACCATCTGTGAGAAAAAGAAACCATGAAACAATTCCTCCGCCAGATATTTGGAAACAGTATGCTGTACTACTTTCAATTCGTGCAAAAAGTTCCAAAAGAAGTTTTGGGTATCAATCTGAGGAAAAAAAGAATTTGGAAGAAACACATTACCAAGTGCAAAGAAATTTTGAACAGAAAGAATATTTTTCTGCAAGATCTCTCTGAAGCATATATAAAAATTCATATTGAAAATGAATGTCCTGAATTAACAAGCATTAACAAAACGTAGCACGAAAAGAAACCAGTGACCCTCGATGAAATAAAACGAAAAGCGCAAAAACGATTTCCTTATTCAGTCAAAAATGTTCCATGCGTGATACAAAATAATCATGTATCTTTCGATACATGTCTGACGAAAAGATTTTTTTCCTGCAGTAGGTTACCATTTCTTTCTGCGGTAGACCAGTTGTCATCAAGGCTATAGAACCCGGTTTGTTCTGCTATTTACCCATAGCTAAGAAAGAAGAGGATTCATATCTTTCCCAAGGATATTAGCACGTAGCTGAACGTAATGGATTCAACTGGTATTCGAACGCACCTTCCCGATTCCTCAAACCGAGCCGCTATCCATTAAAACCGTGCCTCCATTTATTACGAAAAAAAAAAAAATAAAGAAAATAGAAAACGAACGAAATCCAGAATTCGATGGTGTAGTATTGCATGGACAAACGTGTTAAAAAGACGAGTATTAAAGATTTTTATTGCGAAAATCCTGGTATTTTTAGAATTAAATCTTTGAGGAGAAGTTAAAAATATTGAACCGGAATGGGCAGAGATATTGAAAGTATAATGAAAGAAAACAGAGGTTGTGCTCTAGCAGCAAAAAAGGAAAGTCACAAAAGATAGAACCATGGCCAAAGATAGAAAGAAAGAATGGTCGAACTGCATATAAATTTTGCAAAAAAAAAATCAATGGATCATATTATCTTGTGTGGTAGTTGATAAATTCAAATGTTTGCCATAGTCTCTTTAAATGGAATCCAAAGTCCGTAATGTTTACAATATCAGAGGTTGGCTCTGAATTCGGAATCCAGCAGAAGTTAAGTAATTCTGTCTTCGATATCAGAGGTTGGCAGTGAAGATTCAGAGAAAGTAGCAGCTGTTAAGTAATTTTTAAGTCTTCGATATCAGGTTGGCAGTGAAGATATTTTTTGGAGAAAAAAAAAAATGGCTGCCTTTATACACGTCGGATTGAATATTTTGAGCTTTCTGATTGGTTAACCCTTCTATTGGTGAACTATAAAATGAGTCAGCTCATTTAGGCTAGCTCACTAGTACACACATATACACAACGAACTGCAACAGAGAAAGCCAAAACAGAAAATGGAAAGAAGAAGAAAAAAAAGAAAGAACGAAAGAAAAAAAGACACAAGGAAAGAAAGTGAAGCGTGAGAATAAGGATAAAGAAAGAGCGTGAAAATATTAAGAAAGAAAAATAAAAAGAAAGAAAGAGAAAAGAAAAAGCATAAAAGAAGGAAGTGCGAGAGATTATTGAAAAAGAAAGAGCATGTGAATATTATGAAAGAAATAAAAATAGTAAGAAAGATAAAAGAAAGAGAAGAGTGGGAATATTGAAGAAGAAATGACGTGAGAAAAATACAAAGACCGAAAGAAAAAAATGAAAGAAAGAGGAACGTGAAAGTATGGAAGAGAAAGAAGAAAAACACAAAGAAAGAAAAAACAAAGATAGAATGACGGAAAGGAGGTGCGTGGAAATTTTGAAAAAGAAAAACCGTGAGAATATGCAGAAAGAATGATGAATGCAAAGAATGAATGAGAGGAAGAGGAGTGTGCGAATATTGAAGAAGAAAGAGAGTGAGAATATTAAGAAAGAAAAATAAAAAGAAAGAAAGAGAAAAGAGTGAAAGACGGAGGAGCATGAAAATATTGGAAAAGAAAGAACAATACGAGAATGAAAGAAAAAAAGAAAGAATGAAAAAAAGAGGAGCGTCAAAATACTGAAAAAGAAAAAATACAAAGAAAGAAAGAAAAAAAACTAATGAACAAAAAAGAAGCGTGAGAATATTGAAAAAGAAAACATGAGAAACAAAGAAAAATACAAAGAAAAATCGAAAAATAAGGAATGAATGAATGAAAAGTGTATCTTTTTGGTAATTTTACGTTTTCCTGCTTTTTTAATTTAATTTAATTTATTTGTTTCTTTCTTTCTTAAAACACGCCGACATCAGTAGTAGATTTTCTTAAGATTAAAACAGATTTGAGCATAATTTAATTATATTGTAGTTATATATCCAAAGAATTGTATGAATTTTAATAGATCCCAACTTGGCATCTCGGTGTCAGTCACCGACATGATGTGGCTTCCTTCTGTCTTTTCTACAAATATTTTCAGGGCAACTCCTCTGACGACCTTTTTTTTCCCCTAGTGCCCTGACTACATGAATTTAAACATGCTACAAAAAAGGCATCTAGGTGCCGGCCTTTTACTGTTGAAATAGTTAAATGCAATCACCACTTCTACTCTAAATGTTTATTTTCACGCACTTCCCGCCTGTGGAACTCCCTTCGATTTCCTTGCTTCCCTTAAAACTACAATCTTCAAAAACTGAAATGCAACACCAATCGCCATCTTATGTCTTCTTGAATCCCGTTCATCTTTTATCGCTTTCTCAATCCTCCCTATTTTCAGTCTTCTCTTTCATTTCCCCACTCCCTGTGTACTAGTGGCCTTCCCGACATGCTTAAGGTGAAATGATTAAAAATAAATATGTGCAAATAATTATACCCTGACCTCCCTAATATTTATACATTCAAATCGACATGTGGAAAATGAGGAACAGCAATACATGGTAATAACAAAACATGTATTACTTATTATCTTTTTAATGGTTGTTATGTAATGAGATTGGAGAGTTAGTAATATTTAGCAAATTGCTTATAGTGTTTCTTGTATGTTTTCTTTTGTTTTTTTTTTTACATTGTCTGCAGTTAGTGTGCTGATAGTTTATTCCGAAAGAAAACAATAAGTCTGTAGTTTTCTTACTTCAAATTATTGTTATGAGTGTGATGAAGCTACAAATATTATCGTCGTGGCTTATAAAATGGAAAGAGGCGAAATTTTGGTCCAATTCCTGTTGACTGCTTGACCGATAGTGTGGGCACCACGTGTTTCCGTATGGTACAGAAGAAAATTGGGGTTTATTTTCATTGGTTTAAAAAGTGCGAATTGGGGTTTATTTTCATTGGTTTAAAAAGTGCGAATTGATTTAACGATAATTATAATTGTTATAATTATTTATCATGACTATTTTTTGACAGTATAATTTAATCTTTATTTTTTTTATTTTATTTTAATGGAAACAGCAGTTAAACTCCCAAATATAAAACACGGTTTCTTATTCAGATTACCGAAAGTTTTCAATTTCAACGTTGAACCTGGCTGTAAAGGCTGCAAAATAACGATTAGATACCCTTTTGGCGGAGATGAAGTGATCTCAAATATCACGTAACCACTTAGACCCGTCAAACATTTTTAAGATGGCCAGTTCTTCACTCACATTCCAGGAGTTCAAATCGATCAAGATCTTTTTTTTTTTCTTTTTCCTTTTTTTTTAAATCTGCATTCCATTTTTTTCAAGATAAAACTGCCTTCCCAGCAGCTTGCATAGATTCTTCTTACTGACATAGCAGATAAATCCATCTTGCTCGAAACTGTAATGCTGAATATAGCTTCTCCAGAGATGCAGAATAATCTGCGGCAGACACAATTTCTTGATTTAAAAAAAATTTATTTTACATCCTATATTTTGTAACCTTTTTCACATTTGGTTGTTTTGTAGAGATGAATTTTCAGTTTTCTTGCGTGAGATAAATGTGTGAATATATAACTATAGATATATACATATACAAATATATATATATATATATATATATATATATATTTTATATAGATATATATTCCGTTTTCATACACACACACACATAATATTATTATTATATATATATATATATATATATATATATATATATATATATATATTTATTACTGAAAAAAAATCCTGACAGTTATTTTAAGACATTTTTTTTATGTTTATACGTTCTTTTTTTATAGATATATGTTCAAGAAATTTTCATAGAAAATATGCGTCCTCCGACAGACCTTCTCACCGAAACGTTCCTCTGTGGCTCACTCGGTAAAAGTACGTCAGGCTATATGACGGTTCCTTATAGGATACAGGTTCGATTCCTGTTGGAGGATGCATATTTTCTATGAAAGTTTTTTTCGGCAATTCAAGCCGGTAAATGTCGTTAATACCGTTTATTATAAACAGAGTATTTACTTAAATATTTGTATCTATAATAAGAACGTATAAACATAAAAAATGTCTTCAAGATATATATATATATATATGTGTTTGTATTTATATTTACTAAAAAAAAAAAAGAACAACATCTATTCTATACCTCAAGATGTCTGTAGGAACAGACGAAAGCTTGTAGTAAAAAATAAGAACTAATACGGCAGAAATTTATAGAAAACAAGGATCTTTTCATTCATAACGGATTCGGAGGTTTTTGTATATTATTTGAATTGTTTGCGACGATGGATTTCTCGCCAATTAAATCATTAACCTTTTGCATTTGTTTTTGTGTGAATTAATTCATGAATATATATATATATATATATATATATATATATATATATATATATATATATATATATATATATATATATATATAATATATATATAATATTTTTTTTGAATGAAAATTGTAATGAGAACAAAGAATGTTTGCAATTCACTTTCTTTAAAATGTTCGGTTTCTTCGTGAAATAAGATGTTAAAATTTTGGTGAAGGATATTAATTTCTTCCATAGCACTTCCATTATCGTTTTACTTATATGGATGACCACTTGGGAAAACCACATATTGTAAAATGGAAATTCTTCTTCGTACGTTCTTTATTTTATCTTCGTTGTATTATTTTTTTTATTTCATTCTAAGTTATTATGATCATTGGTCTCTTATCCCTTCTTTTCTTTGTGACATATTTTCCTATGTCTGTCTATATTCCTGAGACGAGGTATTGCAATTATTTCCACTGTTTACTTTGTCCGGATTCTTCGCCTCATCTTCGATGCCATATTCACGACGTTGCTTTATTCTCTATATCAAAATTTCTATTGAAAATATTTATCTATATTCCTGAGATGAGGTATTGCAATTGTGTTAAAACATTTTAAATTTTTCCGGAATTCTTCTGTTTCATTTTTTTGCCATATTCACGACGTTGTTTATCTCTACATAAAGCCTTTCTCGATAATCTATCCATCTGAGATGAGTTGCTATTATTCATTGTTTACTTTTGTTTTCGTTCATCCTTACATCATATTCATCGTTGTTGCTATCATACTTTTTGCCTTTTTCCAAACAGGTCTCTATTCCTGAATTGAGGTTATATATATTATTTCCACTGAACTTTATATTCGGATTTTTTTTCTCATCTTCGTTGCCATATTCAACGTTGCTACAATCTACACCCTTTTTTTCGACATTCTCTATTCCTTTTGAAATTGAAATATTATTTCCATGTTTTATTTTGTCCGGATTCTTCTTTGCCTTTGTCTTCGTTGACATATTCAGTCGACGTTGCTAAAAAGTTTTCATTCTAATGACCCTTTCTCAAAATAGGTCTATATTCCTGAGATGAGCTTTTGAAACTTTTTTTACTTTTCATCGGATTCTTCGCCTCATCTTCGTTGCCATATTCACGACGTTGCTAATCATTACATTTTTAAACATTATTTTTTCAAAATAAATATTTCTGAAACGATTTTCCAAGCAATTAATTACAATATTTACATTGTTAGATCTTTAACCTCATCCACATTGCCATATTCATGACGTTTCTTGCCGTTGTACGCTTTGGCCCTCTTTAGCATCTGTCTATCTTTCTGTGATGAGTTATTGCAATTATTTACAAGTTTTACATTATTTGGACTCAGGATCTGTCCATATTTCCGAGATGAGGTATTGTAATTATTTACGTCATTTACATTTTTTGAACTGCTGTCTTCATCATTATTGCGTCATTTCGGCCATTGTACCCTCCGGACTTCTTCAGGATCTGTCTATATTTCTGAGATAGTTATTGCAATTATTTACACTATTTACATTGGTCCGACTGTTTTCCTTTTCTTTATTACTATATTCACGACATTTCGGCCTTTGTACGCTCCAGCTTTCTTCAGTTCGCGTGACAAAGTCCGGAGCGTACAAAGGCCGAAACGCCGGTAATATGGTAACGAAAATCAGGAAAAAATCCAATTAAAAATAAAAAAATGTCATTTCTTACACATTAAATCATCTCAGAAATATAAGATATTTACTGAAGAAGGTCGCAGTGTACAATACCCGAAACCTCGTGATCCTTTCTAAGAAAATGAAGACAACAAACCGAACAATGTAAATAGAAGGAAAAAAATGCATCTCAATAATAAAAACAGATCCTGAAGAGATATATAAATGTATAAATGAAAAATTAAGCGTTTTGAATATGTTAACGAAGATGAGGACAACAATTTCACAATTTAAATAGCCCTTATTAATTACAATAACTCATCTTTTATATACAGCTGAATTTTATGTAGGCTCTACAAAAAAGTCGTGAAATAACGAAGATGAGACAAAAAATAAAACAATGGAAATAGTGTAAATATTTTTTCCTCTTCCATTCCAATCGCTCTTGTTTTATTCGCTTTTAATTTATCATATGTCTTTGCCTTCATACTATCGAAACAACCTGATATTAAGTAGGCTTCGAACATTTATCTAAGTCAGTGCAATCAGTCTTATACGAAACGAGAATTATTTACCACATCGCTGTCTTTCTGATTCTCCTGACCGATATTGTTATCGTTTTTTTGTTGGATAGTACATCACTGAGTGCAAAACAAACGAGAGAAGATATTTTAGAAATTTCGGCAGAATATCTTAGTTTCAATATTTATTTACATTTTCAACACGTTCACTAATTGTCCCCGCCACTGAAGATGATGTTAAAGAAATGTGGCATTCATATTATAACCGATATAGCTATAAACTAATTACACTTATTTTCATATGTCGAAAAACACAGAACTCAATCTTGATGGCAAAATCCAATACACACACACACACACATACACACAAACGTATAAATATATGTCTGTATGTGTGGAGAGATAGATAGAAATACATAGAACTCTTCATTGCCAATTCAAGAAAGAAATTCGGATTACTAACACAGAAAATATCTTATATCGAGAATATTTAACATTGAAAAACAAAAGAAAAAAATTAATTATTTTTAATAATATGTGGAAATCTCCGCTTTTACCTGAAGACGGTCATAAGACCAGAAACACGTGTAGTAAAATTATGTAAAACAAAGCATAATATTTTTTTTTCTAAATAAATCCACATTACAACCAAAAACGTTTGCGGCACCTCTCTTCTTTCTTTTTAATATACATACTTTTCTCTCGTTGGAACCACTACAACATATTTCTTTTATATATATATATATATATATATATATATATATTTATAATTTTTTTTGCTATATATATGTGTGTCTGTGTTTCTGTGTGTCTTGTTTGTGTGTTTTGTGTGTGCATGTATTTTTTTTTATAGATAGAAATTAAGTAAAGGAATAGATAGATGGATTTTAGACATAATAGATATAAGAGACTATTGGTAGATAAACAGATATAAAGAACTTGATAGATAGATAGATAGATTTTTTCATATATAGATAGATAGATAGATAGATTAGTTCATTGAGATAGATATGAACAATGTAGATAGATAGATAATTATTTAGATAGATAGATAGATTCTTTGAGATAGATTTGAATTTTCTTTTAAGATAGATAAATGTTATAGATAGATATAGATAGATAGATAGATAGATAATTCATATATTTTAGATATATAGATTTTTTCATCTAATTCACAAGCGGACAAATAGTTTTTATTTCTTTTTATTATTCATATATATTATTATATATATATATATATATATATATATATATATATAATATTAATAGAATCCATATATAACCCCATAAATATATTCCCCTTTACCCACATTTCTCACCCAAACAAGACAGACATGCATTTTTTTTTTGATAGACCAGCAAAATAAAAGTTAATAGTTTTTTTTTTATATTTAGCTGATTGATAATTATAATTAACCTCAACCTCCTGATTCCAGAGTTTCGTAAACAAGCATCCATGAATTATTACAATTTTCTCTTCAAAATCATATCTCCAAAACTCCATTAAACTTTTTTTTTAGTTTTGCATTTTCCATTTGTTTAATTTTTTTATGCATGGTGCATGAGTACGCGAAAAGTCATACACACATTTATTATGCAAAAAAAAACAAAAACCCTTCCAAAATCTAAATTTAACGGTGTTATTCTTGAATGGTTCGTTTATCAACCAACCAAATATTCTCTAGCCTCTTCCTCTCATCATTCCTTCCCTCAGCAGTAATGATCAACGCCTCATACAGAGCTAGCATTAAGATTAGTATTTAAATTCTTCAATATTTTTACTAACCATGAACAGTAAATTTACGTTTTAATCCAATGGGATCTCAATTCATCCCCGGTAAGTATTTATAAAGATTGATTTTTTGTTTTCTTATTTATCTTTTATATAACTGTTATGAAAAAAGAACACAGCACAGATACTTCCACGAATCTCATATTTAACGGTCAATAATGGCATATGACACGCGAGCCTCTGTTTGGCCAACTCTGGTATAGTGTGTCTCAAAAGTCGCGACTGGGTTTTGATATTTAATAGGTAATCAGCGCATTTATATTCGTGTAGTTTGACGTGGTTATTCGTACTTTTCGTTGTTTTTTGTGTTTTTTTTTATTTGACACGCACCCTTTGACTATTTCTCTTCTGTTCTCTTTTCTCTCTTTTTTCAATTTTTACCCCGTGACTTCCGGTTTTCTAGACATTTTGTCTTATTACGAATAGTTTAAGATTGTAGTTTTCAGGCAGTCCGTACCATAAAAGGTCACTGCGGACGAAAAATCTATTTAGGTTCAACTTTCCTCTATATTTGAAACATGGAAGAAATGAGGGTGTTTCGTGTCCGTAGAGGTGACGTGGCGTGCACTTCTATCGGATTTCCTGGATGTAAAAAAAAAGCGGCAATAAATCTGAAAAATACAAGAAAAATAAGAATTGTGGGCTTGAGAAGCTGGCAAAATTTCGTCTGCGTGATAAAAACTGTAATAGTCCATTTTTGGTTTAATCTGACTCTTGTAATCATAATGCATGAAATACGTCGTTTATTGCCACAGAATTAAAGACTATCCATGTCCCCTCACTCCCCGTCTTTTAGCAATGGATTGTATTGTGCAGGGCTGGCCGAAGTTGCTTAATGTAACAGCCACATACGGTAAAGTTCAGATTTTTCAGATTCGCAAGCAATGAACAAAATTTACACATACGTTTACGTTACATACACATTAACATTAGAATTACGTTTTAAACTAATGGGGTCGAAATTCATACACATTGAATAATTATAAGACATGATTTTTTTTATTTATCTTTCATATTAACTGTGATGAAAAAAGGAGCCCAGCCAACATATTTCCACGAGATACATATTAAAGGTCAAAGAGCAGCATATAGCTCCTGAGGCATGGATTAGCCATCCCTGCCATAGATGCTGATAGGCCGCTGAACAAAATCAACTAACAAGCCAGACAACTAACCAAATGTTCTGTAGCCGCTGCTTTCTACCATTCCTCCCCTCAACACTAAAGAACAACACCTCACACAAGGAATCAAAATTTAAATTCTACAATATTTTGTACTACCGTTTAACATTAAACTTAGGTTTTAATCCAATGGAATCTCAGTTCTTTACTAAATATAATCATAGAGCATCTGTCTATATTTTTGAGATGAGGTATTATGTACATTATTTACATTATTCGGACTATTTTCCTCATCTTTGCCGCCATATTTATTACAACGACTCGGCCTTTCAGTATCTGTCTATATTTCTGAGATGAGGTATTATGTAAAACAAATTTACATTATTCGGACTTTTGTCCTCATCTTTGTCGCTATATTTATTACAACGTCTCGGAAAATCAGTATCTGTCTATATTTCTGAAATGAGGTATTATGTACATCTATTTAATTTTTATTATTCAGACTATTGTCCCCATCTTTGCCGCCATATTTATTACAACGTTTTGGAATTTCGTGCCATGGATATCAAACGAGTTGGATGTTTCATGGATGTCAATTATCAGTTATCTCTTGTTAATTACTTAGATCCAGTGACAGGATCCAAAGAGTGTGAGTTCAATACCCGACAAAGGCAGTGGAGAACTTTCATGGGGAAATTAACAGGAGATATCTGATAACTGACCTCCATTAAACATGGCACGTGGAACTGGAACAGTCTACCCCAGTGAGTGAAATAAAGGGTTCAGTTCGACATTCCAAGCACCTGAAGAATGCCGCAGCGTACAAAGTCCGACACGTTGTAATAGATATGGTGACAAAGATGAGGACAACAGTCCAAATAATGTAATAATGTAAAGAATTTTTTTATTACTTACCTTTTATATTAACTGGTATGAAAAAAAAAACCTAACATATTCCAGGAACCGCATATTTAACGGTCAATAAGTCACATATGGCTTGCGTGCCTCGGTTTGTCTACCTCTGGTGTACTGTGTCGCAAAATTCGTAACGAAGTTTCGATATTTAAGAGGTAGTCAGCGTATTTATATTTTCTCTTTTTTTTCAGATTTAGAAAGTTGAAAGTCTGGACATGTTTACAAGTTAACAATCAAATAAAATTGTGCTGCATTATTTTCAAAATCAAACATTGAATCATGTTACCACAGTAAATATTCCAATGTGAATTCAATGTTAGCAAACTGCTCTCTGAATCAATTAATCACCTGTTGATGTTTCTCAGCAAACAAGTTCTGTACCTAACTTGGCAAGATCCAGGAGACGACGTTCACTTAGCACAACGTCTATTGAACAGAACAGAAGAAGAGGGAGGTCCAGTCAAAGAAGCTATTTACAGCTGAATATCTCCCGATTGTCATTACAACACGATATGAAGAGACGTTTCCACCGGGATCCATACAAAATCTATTTAGTACAAGAAATAAATACAATAGATTACCAGCAGCGACTTAACTTAGCTTGACTAATTCCTTGCCAAGAGTTATGGAGGATTTGCTGGCAAGACCCCGTTAATACGTGGTTCAAAACGGTTCATACTTAGAACCCTTTATTTTCCATAATTAACTGAATTAAATTTCAATTTAATCATCTTCATTATCACATAAAGAAACTACGATAATATTGTGACAGGGTTACGTGAAAAAAAAAGGCGAGATTTAATTTAGGTGATAATAAGCTATCACGAAAAGACACTGAGCGATGTTATTTTTTGTAACAAAGAAAAGCGGCAAAGATTTTAATTTCATTAGCGAAGAAAGATTTTTTTAAGGCAAGAGAAATTCGGATCTGTCGGATTTAGTTTAATTTATGTAACGACGGAGCGAATAAAAGATATCCGTCTGCCCATGGCAATAATGAAAATTTCAAATTGGTCAAGTGGCCTACAAAACAGAATGCTAAGAGATAATATTAATTAAGGTCACGCACTGACCGAGAAAAATGTCAGCTGGACCACCCACAAGTTAAAAAGAAGGAAAAGATTAAACCATTAACTATCTGCGGAGATATCATTTGGGAAAAAAACACCTGTTTTATGTCAGAGCTGGCCATGATAAAAAAATTTTATCGGAACAGATAATTGGCGACAGAGGCATTGAGGAGGAAAACCATTGACCAACCTCAATGATTATTTGACGAAAATCTCGTTGACGAATTCCAGACGACGTTCGGTTAAGATAAGAGTCGGACCACACTATGGTGGGAGGTTGTCGGGAAGAAGAAAAGAAAAAAAAAAAAAAGGAAGATAATTTTTTTTTTTTGAGCGATAATTTAAACCAAGGCCCACACCCATGCTGCTGAGCGTTCATTGGCTGAAGGGTGGCGTGAGCGGTAGGCGAAGGTAAACTATGAAGAAGGAGGGGGGCCTGTTGACGCCCTCTGAAGGGATTGGTGTGAGATGCCACTGTGAGAGAGAGGGAAACCTGTTGACGCCCTCTGAGGAGATTGGTGTGAGATATCAATATAAGAAAGGAAGAATTTGGGAGGACGATTCCTTTTAAGTAGAAAGTAAGGACTTCCAAAAATGGAAAGTAATAAATTTTCCTATCCGAGAACAAAGAAGATCCTTATTGTGGATTTAGAATTATCAAGGATCCTCAAACCCCGGCAAACCCACCCCTGTTTGGTCGGCGTCCATATAAGTAGAGTCGCAGCGAGTGGACGGCAGTTGGGGTTGAAAAAAAAAAGGAGTGAGTAACACAGACGCAGTTCGCAGACGCAGACAGAGTTGAGCTGTGAGCTCTGAGACCCGCCTCGCAGAAAGCTAACTGAAAGATCAACGCATCACGACCTCAACTTCTAACCAAGAACAATTTATTTTTGAAGAACGACTTAGACTCACGCCGCCAAAACAAGTTTTACGAATATCGCCTGAAGATACACCAAAAAACCAATTTCTTAAGAAAAAAAAAACAACTTAAGATGTTAAGAGTCGCCTAACAAACACAAAGTGTCACGAATCCATATAAGCGGGTTGGGAGAAAGATGCAGTCCTGTATTCAGCAACTATATATAAAATATTGTTATTCTTTTTTAACACATTTGAACTTTTCGAATGGTACTTTATTTACTTTTACATATACTTGTGCGGTATTACCCTTGTATTGCAGCCCGGCGACTGATTGATTTCGTCTACCTAAGATCAAATCACAACGTGGGTAGGTTAGACTAGAAATCAAAGCAGTTACTTCGGTAACCAGACGTTGGGGGCGAGCTGGGAACGACAAGGCTGATATCGAATCTAACCAGATTCCCATCCGAATCAGCAAAAGGTTAGAACGTCACATTTGGTGCCGCGACCAATACCAAGTCACATTGGTCGTCGTAAGATAGGACGGCGACGGGGCAGAGAGGCAGTACGGGGTGACGTCACAATATAATCTAGTTTAATATCATTTTTAAATCTTGTCGCAAGCTTTATGAAACCCTGTACATAGTGCTTCCGCTGGAGGTGAACATGAGATCGAGTAGACGTATATATAACCAAGTTCATTTTCGTTAAAAAAATTCATCGACAAAAGTGAGGTTACAGTGCATTAGGTAAAATATAACTTAAAATTTTCATGTAGATGGGGAGAAAAACGTTGAAGTATATTGTCCTGAAACGTCGAGGTTTGTAGTTGAAATATATCCTGTCCTGAAACGTCGAGTCATTTGTATAAGGCAATAAAATGAAATTTGTTGAAATTGAGAGTCCTGAAAGGTACGCATTTATAGTCATTGAGAATTGTAATTGAAAGGTACGCTTATAGTCAACAATTCTTGTAAAATTATTTTATAAATGGGAATCATTGATAATCATTGAGAATTGTTGTCCTGAAAGGTACGCTTTTATAGTCATTGGGAATTGTTGCCCTGAAAGGTACGCTTTTATAGTCATTGGGAATTGTTGTTTAGGTAAGAGTCATTGGGAATAAGACATTTTGAATTGTTTTTTTAAATGTACATTGGGAATTGTTTTAAATCATTGAGAAGTGTTGTCCTGAATGGTACGTTTTTATAGTCATTGGGAATTGTTGGTGTGCTGGGGGTTGGTTTGCTGGAACGGCGGTTGATAGTAAACTGTAGCTGATGATAGCTGGAGCCGTTTGTCGGTTGTCTTCTGGTTGAAAGGATAATAGAGTTTGATCCAAAGCAACTTGTTCGCGGGTTGCTGTTTCTTGAATTATTGAATCTTTTCTTTATGTGTTGTTAAAAACGTACGAGCAAGTAAATATTATAGCCTCAGATATGAACGACCAATACCTACCTACCTATAACTAACCCAAGCAAATTGCATATAGATTCAAATTGTAAACGATGAATTTTTACCTATCCCCGAATGAATTAAATGTGTAGAAACTCAAATATGAAGGATCGATACTAACTTATTACCTAACAAAGTAAATATTTATTGACTCCAAATATAAAAAAGACCAATATTTACCTATCCCAGAACCAATTAAATGCTTACATTGTCAAATATAAACGACCAATAATGAACTAACCATGAATCAAGTAACCTTTATAGAGTCAGATATAAACTTCCTATACTCGATTCAAGTAAATACTTATAGTCTCGAATATAAATTAGCTGTATTTAACCTGAACCCTGAATCATTTAACTTTCAAATATAATCGACCATTACTTATTTATCCTCAAAGCAAGCAAATGCATATTGACTCAAATTTTAGACAGGCTGATTTTGATATTAAATAATATGTCAAGTTTTAAAATGTCTTAAATCAACCAAACCATCGGCTATGTGATTTAACACAAAGAGTATATAGAAATTCAAAGGACGTTTTCGTGATCACACGTGATTGAAGGAGGAAAATAAACTTAAACAGATCCCATGACTCAATTAACTAGCTTTCTCAACGGAGCATTTATAGGGGAAAATGAACATACAGATATTGTTCTCAATGTCATTTTTTCTTCATGAATATTTATCAGGTCGAAAATTGGTAGGAAAAATAGGAGAAAAAAAAAACTTCACCATTTGTGTAACTCTTTCTTTTGAATTATCAGCCCGAATAAAGCGAGATATCTCAACAATTTATAAAGAAAATGGTTTAAATTTGTTTCCTTGGAAGTTTTTTTTACGGTATATCAAACATTCCAGGTGATTTAATTCTGATTTCTCTCATTTTGATAAATAATAATTATACATAAGCTCTGCTTGAGCGGGAATAAAAAAAATAAATTCTGTTTCTATGCTGATGACTCAAATATTTATTCATGTGTCGATAGTAAATTTGATAAATTCGATAACATCAAAATGGCGACTGAACGAAAACAATTTGCTGTTAACTGGAGCAAGTATTTGTTTTAATTTCATCGCTTCCAAAACTAAACTTCTCTCCATTTAACAACTTGGTGACGCATTTCTGCCTCCAATTAGTATGGCTGAGGCTAACCTCCAGAAGACTGATTCATTAACGGACCAACATTATCGCCTGACATGAAGTGGAGAGATTATATTGATCCTATTCTTAGGTTTGCTGCTAAAAAATTCGGTTAATCGTGTCGTGCTGGAGAGTTTTTCACGACAGAATCTATCTTACATATTTATAACTCTACCATTCGTCCATTCATTCAATATTGTCACATATGGTTCGGTTTGGTTTGGTTTGTTTTGTTTTACGTCATATCAACCCCAATGGCTTATTTAATGCCGACAAGAGTTTTAGGATAAGTTCGTATAAACAGATTATGAATTAATATTATCGTTTTCAGAAATGTAGTACTGGCAATATTTTTTTCTCTCCAAAAATGTATTGTTCATTTTTTTTTTTTTCAATAATGTATTGTTCGTAATATTTTTTTTTTTTTCAAAAATGTATTGCTGGTATTTTTTTTTCTTCAAAACTTCATTGATGTTAATCATTTTTAAACAAAAAATGTATTGCTGGTTTTAAAACCTATTTTTACACTCATATTATTTTTTCCCAATTTGGTAGATATCTATTTGCCCATATCTGGGACCCTAGCAAGAGCTACCAGCCCGCTTAAGGGTAGACCAGCAATTTAGAGGTAGTTCCCCGCTCCTCAAAACCTCATGATCAGAGGCTTTGCTGTAGGATCTAATTTATCGTCTTATCCAGGACGCATATGGTGCGGTGCTTCTACTGTATATGTAGAGATTCTTGAGAAAATTCAAAGAAAAATCAGTATTATAGTTTGTGATGAACTGGCATCTCGGCTACAGTCATTTTCCCTCCGATGTAATCTAGCTTCCTTGTTTCTATTCTATAGATACTTTCCTGATAAATGTTCAGATGAAATATCCACTACGGTATCTAGAATTTATACATAATAGATTGGTATGTTTCACAAAGTTTACAGTTGATTGGTAACAAAACTACATTTCAGTTTAGA